TACATTTTGTGTTGTACTATAATTCTGCACCATTCTTTGTTCTTAATTAATTAGTTACCTTTTCTTAAATAGATTACCGAAAATATTCTGCCCAGGCTGTAAATATTTGATTAGAACTTTTTTAAACTCATTAGCTTATCTGATTGCGCGAACTACTGATTTGGGATTCTTCAAGTTCATTATCGGTACACTTTTGGTATAGATGTTGGACTTGTATTTTGTTGTAACTAGCCACATGTTTTTGATAATGATATATCAAAATTTCTTTTAATTCTGGCTCCGTAATTTCAAATGATTACTGTTTTTCGGTGGGCCCAGCTTGCACAGGAGTTGCATCTGCTCTCGATATCTGTGTTTTGGCGACCCACAAGTCATTTGATTAAAAAAAAAAAAAAAAAAAAAAAAGGAAGCAACTCACGGTATCACTCTCATTTACCGGAGTTGCAACCAAATATACACAATAAGGTTTGGTACTTTATCTGTACCTCCCCTTTCATAGAAATAATAGCAAAAATATACACCTATCTTTAAGAAATCAACATCTCATATAAAACATTTGATCAACCAAAATTAAGACAATTTTCCTGTCAAGTCATTTGATTACATACATTAAAGCACCACCCCAAGCCTGATAGCACAAAAGTATAAATTGTTTGAGGATTTTCACAACAAATCAGCTTGTACATAATATATAATATAATACACGTTAAAAAGTTAAGTGTCTACAAAAGATTTCATTAAAATAAATGCTAAATTCATTGTAATTGTGATCGAATGAAGTTATTCCTCGATATTGGCTTGAATTTAAGTCGCGGCATTTTCAAAATCCACTTTTTACGCTGTGTGTAAATTTATGAAAGAGGACATATTTTCCTGTGTGACACATGACACGACAAACCTACCTACTTACCCCACTCATCCTAAATTCCCATCACTTCAAACCATCTTTACTTTTTTTGAAAAAAAATGTTTATGGAAAAAATACGGTAAAACTATTCATGGTAAAGTAAAAAATAGAATGCAAAATGAGAACCTGATAGGGAAAAGAATTAATGATGATAAGAGAGGCAGATCAGGTTTCAGTTTAAGAAGTTTTGCCAGATGAGCCAAACTATTCTGTCTCTGGTAAATGTGGGAGATTGTCAGCAATACAGACAGACTGGTGTTAAAGTATTTAATTATTTTCCTGGTGTACGGTTCACCTATAAGGACAGTTTGAGTATGGCCATTTCAAGGTTACTCCTTTTCCATGCTCACACAGGGACAGAGCGAGAACTTGTGGTTAAAATCAAGGATGGTGTCATGTTGAATGTTGATGAGTCGGGGTGTTATACCATTTTTCAGTAGCACAATGAGTAAACAGACAACATCATCATGTACATGTTTTGCTTTCCGGAGATACGTGAAAAAAGCAGTGGAACTGTCATCTTTTATGAGGAGTCTCCAGCATCCCCGTTTTCTGAAAGAGCACTCACTGTTCCTGGTGTTGGGTAAAGAAGAATTGGGCAATTTGGGTGATGTTTCCAGAGTTGTTGTTGAGGGAAACAAATCTGGGAACTTGGCGACAAAATAAAGTAACCATTGAATGCCAGGGACCATGATATACGGAAAGACGAAGAGGCTTTTGGCTGCTCTTGGAGAAGCATACTGCCTAGTTTGGGAGGACTGCTACTGCAGTTACAGATTTCTTCTATGCGAATAGATCTGCGTAGACAACAAGAGCCCTGTGCCAAGCACATGCTGATGAGAGTTAAGAGGTTAAGAGAAAGTAGATGAGGATTTGAACTGTGTCAGTTCCTTACACAGTTTGATCTTATGAGAACATTTTCTTTTGTTTTGCTCCTCCTCTATCATCTCAGGAGTGGCATTTTGACGTGAACCGAATATTCCTTATTGGTGTTATTTTGTATCAGATTTAAACACGTTTTTCGAAGACAGAGAATTTATGTTAACATTTGCATTCATGGTTAATGTCCAATGTTAGGACTAACCCTAATTTTAGGTTGGTCAGTGGTCACTGTATTTTATCTTGCAAGCTTAAGGTAGACTGACTTACTGATTGACTTAGGTCGGCTCTAAAGTCCAAGCAAAAGGTAGCTTAAGACCAAGATTCTATAACTGCAGAACTACAAAATAATAGTATACTCTCTGGATATTATTGTAACAAAAGCTTTAACCAAATCTTTTTTATAGGATATCCTTGAAGTCTCAAGATGATGAATACAATGGTGAGTGATTAAACTTAATTTTTCGAAATGATTAATTAGATTGTAGTATTATGGTGTATTCTTAACAGTTTGAGCCCTTACACATGTATATCAAGCAAATGGTCAAATGGACTGTTTTAAGCAAAATAGCCCATGACTTTATTAGGCTGAACCATATTGCATTAAAACTCTGATTTACTGTGAAGTTTGGGACTAAGATTAAGCATCTGCAAGTAATTATGGTTTTGTTTATTTTTGGCCACAAGGATTATTATGCAAATAGTTAACCTGCTGCACTGTTTCTTCTTATCAATATAATTTACTCCCTATATTTTCCGTAAAACTACATCTGAAACAGAAGTTGCCTGTGTCTACTAAAACGTTAATCTTCTTAAATTCATCAAGATTAATTTTAATATCAATAACAGACTGCGAATTTTTAACATAAGATGGCAACTTGTTCCAAAGCTGATAACACGTTATGATAAAAAGTTATTTGACATACATACATGCTACATGAAGAGGTCTCCTGCATCACACACATCTCTTGTACGACGTAACAGCTTCCTCCATTCCACTCGGTTCAGTGCTAACTGTCGTACTGCATCTCGGCTGATGTTGTCAACACCTGTAAAGTTAGCAGCATCCTCGAGTACGCAGGCCATCCAGCCTTTTCGGGGTCTCCCTCTCGATCACTTTCCATAGTTAGGTTTCCACTCCAGTAG